GAATGTTGACGAAGTTATAACTTCGTCGACCGGTGTAACTTCGATACGACATATATATACATAGATTTTATTGCATAACTGCTCTAATATTTCAATACTCAACGTAGTAAAATAAACACTACTAACTGAAACATTGCAAGTTTCGCTGATCATGTTTACACTTTCGCCAGCACCATCGACAGAATGAGGCTATTGAGACGAAAAATGTAAATGGAGGAAATAACGCTGGCCGAGCATAATAATCACGGATAAGAGTGCAACGATCATAAGCCCAAATGTATTTTGCTTGTGTGTGGACGTCGTTTATTGTATTACTAAAGAATTCTTTCTATTTATCATTGTCTAAAGTCATTGTCACATTTTAGTCTACCTGAATAAGGCAATGAGCAAATTCAACAATAGTATATTGACAAAAAGCATATGAAATGCAAACATAATTTGAGTAGCTATAGTAGTGCTGGCATCGGGTGTCTCTTAATAAAGAATATGTACATATATAGACGAATAGTTACGTTAGTATGATAGTTTTCTTGACTTTGATCCTACCATCTAATTGAGAAAGTTCACTATCGAAGTTACCCAAGACGAAATAATAAACTGGATAGATCACATTACGAAAGAATTGTTGTCCGCCAAAATCGATGGTGCCATAGGCTATCATAGATCTTGACGTTATTCCATAGCCAAAAATGAAAACAACAATGATGATTATGAATAACAATAAATCGCTTGTCTATAGTGACAAAAAGAACAATGTTATACACAGATAACACTAATACAACTTGTCTACCATCTTTCGAATCATCACCAGTTTTGGACCGAGATTTGGAGCAATACTAACAAAGAGAACTGCAATAATAAACCACAACTCTAAATCGTAAGCCATCACTATTCTATAAATATATAGCTAAATTTGCTGACTATTTCAACGATTATATAATCTACCTTGCTACTGAAAAATTATTGATATCTGCCAGTACAAAACGTAGTATAAGTCCAATATAGAAGAGAAGATATGCTGGTAAAACTAGACATAGATTCGATAATCGATTATTCCAGTCAAAATAGGTTAAAGCTTTGCCCTTGAAATATCGATTTTCTTGGAAATAGAACTAATAAGTAAAAGAATTTGATAATGAATACTTAAAGTAAAATGGAATATGCTAACCTGTCGAACTTCTTCAAAAAACATCGTGGTCACAATTATGATAGTCAATATTTCAGTCCAATGAATATTCACACTAACATCTGATGGTGGAGTAAATGCATACAGCATATAGTAACTGAATAAGAGTAAGAATATAATATAACTAAACTAAAATATTGGAAAAAAAATAAGGTAACCTAAAGATACAATCACATCATGTTTAACTTACGCAAGTATAGACATATTTGACAATAGGTCGATTGTGAAAGTGAAAAAAATGTCGAATTATCGGTTCTTCAATCTGATAGTCATCTGAGTAATCAATGCCATATTTCTCTAGTCTAAATTCCTTTTTTTTGGTTTATATTATGATTAGCCAATAAATACTTACCGTCGTGTCGAATGGGTCAATGTCATTGTCTATCGAATAACAAAAAAATCAAATAGCTCTAGTAAAGATTTCTTCAACTTTACATTAGTTCTTTGTTTCGTCGGACGATTTTCATAGAAATATTTCTCGTACATGGAGATAAACAGCTGTGAAACACCCATTGTGAGTAAATTGATAACAAGACGACTTCGTTCTTGAATTGGATCAATTTTATCATACCATATATTTGTTAGTAGTGCTTGACATGCATCTTCATTTAAAAATTTTTTATTATCTCCTGCAATAGCCATTTGAAGACATGTAATATTTTCGTAGAGCTTTATTTGACGAATAATTAGTTCACATGTTTGTTGTTTATTGTACACATAAGAACAACGTACGAACTCGATAGCATATGTTTCGAAAATATTGGCTTCTGAACGCAATCTTTCTTTTGATTCATGATCTGGTGCATAATATGTTAATGATTTGAGAATTTTCGAAGCGATAAGTGCCGAACATATACGAGTTTTCATTTGACCAAGAATAATTTTTGCCATCGCAAGTCGATAAGTAAGTACACACCAGAGAAAAATATCACGATAAATAAGTTCGACATCTTCCTTCGTAGTTTTATTTATATTTTTTGGTTTCTCTTGAGATGATAGAACGTTTAATTCATACCCATGTGCGATATCTATGTTCTTAACCTCAATTTTTCTTTTTGATGCCTCTGAAGTTGATTGAACTTTTAATGAGTGTCCATAAAGTGGATACATAAAATCACCTACAAACATTTCTAGAATTCTATTTAAGTCAGTTTCCTTTTTGAAATCGAGTTTTTGATCGATCTTATCCAGTAGATAGAGTGGATCCGGCTGTAGAAAATACAGTACTTCTTGAAATAAAATTTGAACATAAAACAAATCTACCTACATTTTTACGGTTGATTTCCGAATATAACTCTTTTAAATAGTAGTTTTCGGGTGACCAACATTCTTCTCTCCAGGAATTAGCAGTGTGACCAAACAAGATCAAAAGATCGGCATCGAGTTGAATAAAATTCCGAACAAATATGTGCAAATTTTTACTTAGACCATCGATTAGTAGTGATCGATTTTGTTCAATCTAACAATGAGAAAGTGTGTTAAAAATGTTGAAATGAAAGTATGAATATTATACTTTGTTTGAATCGTTCCAATCCATTGTACTAGTAAGTAATTGATCTTCAGTAATATTGGGAATACTCCAACGAAGTGCTAGACGTATTTGATCATCGTCAGTCATTTCACGAGTTTCGTGTTGTTTCGAAAGATTCTTTCTTGCTATAAATATAAAAAGACTTCTCGTAGCGATTTCTTGTTGAATTCGAGTTACAAAATGTCTTTTTGGAAGATATGACCGTTAGCAAATGTCGTAGTAGATAAAGTAAAAATGGGACAATTTTCTATGTCACAGATTCATATTGTCATTAGGTTTCTCTATATCTTTCCGTTAAGTATTGATCTTTAAGTTCGTACTCATAAGACATAGAAGGGACTAGTGTTTGCTCCTTCATGAGAACTAACAAGAAGTTTTTAAACTTGTATGACATATTTACTCATCACACAATCTACAAGAACAAAAGAGAGTTATTTATTTAGATTTACCTTGAACTAAAGCAGCATAAATTGTGCTTTGTAAAGAACTGGATAGATTGATGTCAAAAATACGTATGTTATCACGAAACGGAGACGTCAGACAGGTTGCAAACCAGAAAATGTAATATGCAAGAGTTCGTTTTTCACCCAAATGCAATAGTTCGCCAACAGGCAACTTCTTGCCAACTGTCTTATATTCTTGCTGTCGAATAGCAGCGTAGAATTTCGACAAATCATTGTAAATGTCCAAACGCAATTTGCCAAACGGACGCAAAACTTCTCGCAAACTATCCATAAAAATATCAAAATTATAGATCGAATATCTGCCTTTAGATTAACTTACGTGAGTTTAGTCGAGAGATATGATTCTCCAGGTTTAGGTAGAGTAAAAGAATAGTCAAGCATAGACATATCAATACCGTTTTCGTCATCGCTGGTTCTCTCATCACGATCAACATCCTCGTAGGTTTGCTTTACTTTTGCTTTTGAAATATTTATGATGGAAAAGTTTTTTAATAAAGAAATATTTTTCAAAAAACTCACTTTTCATTGCCTTAAGATACTTGCAAAATATATTAGCCAATGGTCCACTTTTCTATGTGAAATGAAAAGAACCGAAATGATTTCTTGTTTTTTACCAGACTTTTCCATCACTTACATCAACAATAATAACTGACACCTGATATATTAGATCAATCCATATCGATCTCAGTGCATAAAGGTTACCACCAACCAGAATAGTAACAAGTGGTACTAAATTGAAGAAATATTTATATTTATATGAAAAGTGATGAATTTGCTATTTCTTTAGAACAAAAACTGACTTCTACGCCGTGCTCCATGCGATATTCGTCGAGCGAGTTGTGAAGCGAATTCACCATCATCTATTGAATTATATGTACCATCATCAAAAAATATATAGTGAGTATGATTTGGTTCGAGTGCATATCGGCCAGGTAGATCATGTTCAAAGACTTGCTTATCCCTAAATGTATAGAATAGTACTGAATAGTGAGGTAATAAAAATCAGTTTGAATGTAACATTGAGGCGAGCATCTATCAGATCATCGAATACTATCCTGAAGACTGAGACGTCGGTGTATGTCCAATTTTTTTTTCTGTTTGCATAGTGCATCTGAATCAGCTATCTCAGAAATTTCTAAATGCAAAGTTTTAGTTTTTAGTTAAGCTAACCAGGTCGATGGTTACGGATCACCGGAAATTACCCATAACTTTATCGTAAACGGCTGTTTTTGCATCCTATTCCACCGTAAAGCGGCTATTTGAAGTCGTATTAAGGCGTTTTAACATGGTCAGTATTACGGTCGTATACGAACACCTTATATATTTTCCCCGTATAATCTCGTAACGACGGCGTAATATTATCGTATACTATAGTACATACGACCGTATTACTGCTCGTGTTATTCGGAGGAAATACGACACATAAAACGGACCGTATTTTCATCGTACAAGACCGTTTACGGATCGTATTCTTCAACCTGAGTAGTGGAAGATTAGACCGACCAAATCGTGTCAGACTAGCTGAATTTTATGAGAAAGAATGAAAAATTCTTTCTAAGAGTAAGTCATCAGTAGAGATGTGCAGGGTAATCCTGTCCTGAGAGTGGAATGACGGTATCAAAAAAAGCTTATCCTATATGTCTACAACATGATAATAATAACAGCAGCTGTAAACTTCATTACAGCTGCTGTTATTAGGGTGGGTGTGGGTGTGGGTGGGTGTAAGGTGTGGGGTGTGGGGTGGGTGCGGATATGGATGTGGGTGTGGGTGTGGGTGTGGGTGTGGGTGTGGGTGTGGGT